TGCTGTAGGAAGTAAAGAGAATCTCTCTTGACATGAATGATGAACACAATAAAAACACTTCTTTTTGTAGGGAAGAGTTAGAATCTATCAGTTGTTTGTTGGTATACATTTCCTTACTTTCTGCTGTGACACTGGGATATCTCCCCACTGTGGACACTGGCAGTAATAAATGATGGAAGATGTTCTAACTCCACACTGGAAAAGATATAAATTGTGACCAAAGTTCTACATAAGTAGGTTTTACTCAGCGTTCCCCATATGTGCACTTTGTTGGACGCTTCTAATGATTTATATTCTGGAAGATGCAGCAGAAGTATTGGAAAGCAATGCAGGGTGAGCGGAACTGAGAACTAGAGGAGAGACATGAGACTGTTTCTAGTTCTGAGATATAAGCGGCTGGTGATTGGACCGGCTTTGATTTATGTTAGTTGGGTGAATGAGCCCTTCAACATTCAGTCAACACCGCAGAATGATTCTCCAGTTATAGTTCACTCATGTCTGATGTGATGTCGGCAAACTGATGATTTTCCTTTCTTCTTTATATTTAGTCATTGGACAGCACTTGTCATCGTATAGTCACACAGCCAAAGCCGAATGTAGAGTCTCCCAAGTCAGAAAAACCTGTAAATGGTATGAACCACAAGGAGGACATCAATACAGAGAAAAGCAAAACGGTCCCCCCTCCTCCTTCACAGAATGGAGAATGCCATCCAAATGGGAAAGAAAACGTCGACATGGACTTGGATTGATTGGGCCTAACCCCCATTTCCTCTTACAGGGACTCACTGGAATCTGTTCCCGGTTCTTTTAGCTCATTACAGGTCACATTTGGAAATGCAGATCTGTTTGATTTTTTTTTTTTTTTCCTTTTGTTCCATTTCTGTATGTTGTGACCAAACATTGTCTACGAGTCTATTTATTATAACATGGAATTTTAGAATGTGTTGTGTTTTTTTAAGTTTTCTGTATGTTTGCACTGTATATTATATGGCACGGGACTAGATTAAGAGATTCCTT